TTCACTTTAATGGCAATGACAATTACCTATTAACCCACTGGGGTCTAAGGTGTTTTTGGTCCTTGAGATGTTTTGACATGCCCTGACATTTTTTTCAGTTATAAACATATTAATGGGTGAAATTACACTCTATTTAGCACAAACATGGCTACCATAATATTTGAGCAACATGTATATCAGCCCATTCTCACCCCCAAGGCGTCACCTAACTGACGCCTTGGGAAGCATTTGGACATGCTTCAATATCTGACGCTTTAGGCGCCCAGTTAGATGACGCCCTAGGATCGCGTGTACCCTACCCCCACCCCACACCTAAACCTAACCGCGTCCTCTAACAGACGCTTTCCTTTAGCGTCAGTTAGATGACGCCGTAGGATCGCGTCATGTAAGTGACGCTAAAGGGCGCCTAAAACGTCAAATATTGAAGCATGGTCAAAGGTGACGCCTTGGGGTGAGAATGCGTTGTGTATATATATATGAAGAGTTCAGATGCAAAAGCCTCTAAGTGCCATTTGAAATTTTCTTCTAGAATGGTCATTTTTATCAAGCTTGTATATTTAAGTTCAGTGATTTCACTTAAATGGCAATGATAATTACCTATTAATTGTTATTTAAGTGAAATTACTGAACTTAAATATACAAGTTTGATAAAAATCATCATTAAAGAAGAACATTTCAAATGGCATTTAGAGGCTTTTGCATCTGAACTCTTCATATATATATATATACAGAAAGTTTAAACAAATTTGGAAGAAAAAGTTTTTTTTATAAAATTCTTACCTACAAGACCTTTAATTTAACCTGTTAGTGTCACCCCCCTTTTTTGAATATATGTTAAAATGCACATTTCAAACTTAAATGGTTGTAATTCAAGAATGCTTTGGAATATAGACGTAAGATTGGTCGTGTTTTAAAGAAGACATTTGGCAGACTCATGTAGAAGTGAAATAAATTAAGAAAGTGAAACAGATTATGAAAATGTACACTGTTAAAAATTAAATTATTTATATTTTACATAAAATGTATAATTTCAAAACCTAAATTTTGAGGGGGCAAAAATCTGAACAAGTTATGTTTCAAATTTTAGGTTGATATCTCAATAAATGAGCTTTCAGTAAGATTTGGTTTGGGCGCAGTATCAACCTTTTCAACCCGGTCTCATCGCAAGACGTCATATAACTGACGTTTCGGGACGTCTTTTGACCATACGTCAATATTCGCCTTTTTAGGGCCCCCTTAAACGTCGGTAGATGAGGTTATGGGATCCTAACTCTACCCCAGACCTAAACCTAACCCTAAACCTACCCCGTCACCTAACTGACGTTAAAAGGTAAAGCGTCAGTTGTATGATGGCCCGGGATTGCCATCTACCAACCTTTAAGGGGGCCCTAAAAAGGCGGATATTGACGTATGGTCAAAAGATGTCCCAAGACGTCAGTTAAATGACTTTTTGGGATGAGACTGTATTGACCTTTTTCACTAGATGACCACCAGACTCCATTACTGCTCATATAAGGGCACATCCATTGCCATGTGTTTTGAGTGATATGAACCATTATTTCCACAATTTCCATACAATTTTGTTAAGTAGACATCCTATTCAAAAGTAATATAAGAGGTTTTGACAGATTTTGATATGAATTCAACCTCTAAGAAACATAAAAAGTATGTGCCTATCTTTTGAACTCTTGACATGAAAATAATCTGAGGTTTCTACCCTTCTTTAATGATTTTTTTTTTTAATTTTCATCACTATTTCAAAATAAACACACCTTAGGAGTATGAAAATATTCTTGTTGCAAATTGATCAATTATGGCTCCTCTGTAATTTATATATATATATATATATATATATATATATATATATAAACTAAATATGTAAACTATAGATAGTTGTAAGCTTTCAATTGTTGTACAGTTTGTCAAGATTAGTTTAGGTTTAGTATAGGATATTACTGTTTTAAAAAAATGTAATGGATTTGGGCCCACCGGTGGGCCATTTAAAGATAGGATAGAACCAAATCGTTTTTAACAATACTAGTTGTTCAAAGCATTTAAAGCATTAAAAGCAAAGACCACTTTGTACAACAAATATGTAACTATCAATTTACACAGGGACTTTGTCAACATGGGGGCAACTGAAAACATGCAAACAACTGACAATATGTACATGTCAGATGTGTTGTACAAGCAAGTGCACGAGTAAATGTCACAGCATACTGTGAGAACATTTCTCTCAGTGGGAAAACACTTCAGTTAATGTCTTTCAACACTTGAGCCAATAGTAGCTGTCTTACACAAAGGACTGTACATACAGTACAATATAAAATTTGGCCTTTTGATTTGACTGTGACAGCTTATCAAGATGCCTTGTCATAAAGTCTGAGATCCTTCTAGCAGTATGACATAATGATGTGCAGGGAGCTGCATGCTTTATCATTTGAAATAGTTAGAAATCCTGTCGTTGTTGGAAACACATTTCATTGATATTCTGCTCATTCACAGCTAGGCCTAAATGCAAAAGAGACTTTCTTGCACAGGCACATTCATTTAGACCATACGTGCAAAGCCAACATGCAAAATCAATTCATTCTTAAAATATTAAAATAATACAAATTTTCCTTGTGATTTATGATGATTTCCCAAAATAAGCTTGGCCCAAAAATTAGTTGGACAATTAAGCCACATTTTTAAAGACATTTCAGTGAAATCGATAATATAACATCAAATAGAACTATTGGCAAAAAGTGGCAAAAAAAAAAAAAAAAACTAAGAAACTCCAAACTAATGTGAAATATACTATACTCTTTTCGATCCAGTGCGGTTGGCTTTGAATGCATAGATTTATTTGTTTCTTTTTTTTATTATAACTGTCAAGAAGTAGTTACATGGTTACATCATTCCTAATCTAAAGAGAAAGAGAGACAGAAATTGAAGGAGTGAGGGGAACCTTAAACTTTCAACATGCAAATGATTTGCAGTGTGCCAGCTTGCCACACATAATAAAGCAAAGGAGGTGGCAGTGATTCAACATGACAAAAAGGTGAAATGAATAGAGCGAGACTGTCAGTCAAATGACTGGGGGAATTTAGCAGCAATCGATTTTAGCAGTGTGGGAAGGCGTGAGTGAAGGCTTTCTGACAGGGCTTTTGGTCAAACTCATTCTAGGAAGGTTGTGACACATCTTCCTGGACTTAATATGGAAGAGCATTTATTTCTGCCTGTGTTTGTGTGGGTGCTTTTATCAGGGCTGTCAATCAATAACATTTTTAATTGGATTAATGGAGCAATATCCTGATTAATCACAGGTAATTCAAATGAAAATATTTTTTCGATGAAAAAAGCCCCAAAATAAAGATCATCCATGCACAGATTTGTTAATTAAGTGTATTGTTGTGCACATATAAGAAGTAGAAAAAAAAGATAATTGAAAATGACTTCACTTTTGTAGATGAAAGCATTATATTCAATTATGTTGTGCTGTGTTTAACAGAATTACAATTGAAAAATTAATTGATGTTTTTTTTTTTTTTTTAAGGGTACATATCATGCTTTAAATCATTCATTTTTACATATAAATCACACATTTGTGGTCTATATAAAGCATAACTGCAATGCGTGGGTCTGAATTCTTCATTTTTATAGCTCCACAGGCCCCTTTTTTACCCCTTTCCTGATGTGAGTCTGTGAGCAACTCGTTTTGAAGCGGCCTCCTTAAATAAAAAGGATATGTGTCATACCCCGCCCGCTCTCCAAGTTGCTGAGTTCACGGTCAGTTCAACTCCACGCCGATCGGCCATTTTTGTAGTTCGATTAGAGGTATACGATTATATACTATAGCTTCAAAGAACATTTTTATTCACATGTTAACAAAAAGTCAACAACGGAAGACTTGTCCATCAAGCTTGTCCATCCTTTTGGATGGGAGCTGATATAGAGGGTATGTGAATATGTATTTTTTATATAAATCGTTCACAGACAAATTTGCTGTATGTATTTCCCCTGTGTCAAAATCAGGCACATGGAAACACGAGTTTTGGTTGAATATCAATATCCATGGATCATTGGATCTGTGGTAAGTTGTAAGGAACACAACTTAGACCAACCTTTAGTTCAAACTGATAATCGTTTGTTTTACTGAATTTTTTTAACAGTTTTCCCCATTAAATTCAGTCAAGCAGCAGGCTCATTTGCCACTCAGTCCAGCTGAGGGGGCGTGTTCCGGCGGGAAAGTGACAATGCATATCCTCTTTAAAGTAATAACCGCGAAAAGGTGATATAGGTATTTGTCTCTATTTAATAAATGTCTTGAGATATCTCAAATAACTCAGAGAAAAGTAATATCCCTTTTGATTCATGGTGATAAAGCACATCTATTGTGAACAGATGACATTTCTCTCTCTCTCTCTCTCTCTCTCTCTCTCTCTCTCTCTCTCTCTCTCTCTCTCTCTCTCTCTCTCTCTCTCTCTCTCTCTCTCTAAATATCAGCCCCACACATTCTGTCTGCATCTTTCTCTTGGTCTCATTGGCTATTTATAAATAAATAATACAGCTAAAATGGTAATGATGAATGAACTAATGTTAAGCCACCATGTTCACTCAATCACTTTAGGAAGAACTTGGGTAAGTTAACTTTTGGGAGTTTGAGCCATGTCAGGTCCTGAAAAAGGTGATAAAACAACTTGCGCCTCATAATTATGTAATGATATTTCCAATAATCTTTTTTTAATAGGTTATGTTTATTTTATTTATTTATTTTTTTTAAATAGGCATGACACCACACCCACTGTCCCCGTCTCTGTTCACCCAGCCACAATGTGTCTTGTGTGTGTGGGCCTAACTGTCTGTTCTCCACAGCTATTGCATGCTTTTCCATAGACCCGGTGGAACAGATGCTCTGAACTGTCACAAAATTCACTTAATACAAAGCCCACTGGATGGTTTGAGGGAGAAGAAATGGGACAGGGAACGAAGCATCAATAAAAAGAACATGAACTTACTGTACTGGCAGTTTCTTCCCATATATTCTCCTGGGCATTCACAGCTATAGTTCGCAACAAGATCGGTGCAGATCCCTCCGTTTCTACAGGGGCTTCTTTCGCATTCATTAACATCTGCAGAATAAAAGGAAAACAGAATTGTTTATATTAGGCTTAAAGGCAATTACTGGAACGTCTCTCATTCAAATGCACTGTTAGATGCCATTTATTGGGTTTATACTGTTTGCTATTTGATATTTGGTTCTCTCCTCATAGCTGAGAAGAATATTTCAGCCATATAATCAAATTACAGCGATTAAAAATGGTGACTATCAACAATAAAGCAATTACACCCTCTCCCTAGCAAGTCCTTGATGAATTCAAGAATGAATTTGAATACAAAACAGTGTTGGATTTGAAACCGACAAAATAAATGGATATTAAAACACCAATTAACAGAATCCACAAACAAGTCCATTGTTTGGTATAAAACAGTTTATTTCAAGCTAGTTTATTGTTTGTCATTGAGAAACATTTTACAATTTATTTTTAATATAATTTTTTTTTAATAAGGATGAGGAGTGACAGGGACAGGGTACTTCCTTTTTGATCCATACAGGCAGGGGCGGAGTGGGACCAAATAAATCTACCGGGAAATTTCGTAGACCACCGGCGCTTATTGCTGGCAGGGCCAGATTAAGAGTTCAGAGGCCCCTGGGCATAATGTCGTGTAGAGTTTTACTGACTTAAAGGAGCATTTCACCCATTTCAATATTAATCTTTTTTGAAAGTGGATCATATTTATAGTCGAAATACTCGTCATTCTGTAGATTTGCACTACTATATACTATTAATCATTATCATTATATACTATCATTATATATATAATGAGTCAGGGGACTATCCATCTGTACACATGGCTGTCAGCTCATGGCAATGCTCTGGCTTCAGGGGAGCGTACTTCGACAAAAGAAGAAGTGAAGCTAGAACTTGTCGCTCGATCCGAGCCATAGTGCGAGGTAGGATAATACAGAACTGTAGTCAGACCTATCCTGTATCACAGGGAAATACTTCCACCTCACCCCAAGGTTTACCAGGGTGCAGGGCTGCCAACGGCTCTAGGGTTGACAAACAAGATTATCTGTGCCCAACCTAGGGGAGTGGGGAACCACCTACAACCCAACGCCTGAGCAGTAGCTCAACGAGGTAAGCAAAGCCTAAACTGGCAGCCCAGATTCCGTATACCAGTTCTGCACGGCAGGTCGGGCAGACGACCCAGTCTCTTTGTGAGGCGAATGATGGCCTATCCCTGCTCAATAAAGACTCATTGTACTGGGGAGGCCTATTTGAGGCCTAACCCTGGATCTTTATAAACCATACGTCTGCATCACACTGCATTACTCTTGTCGCCCCAGAATGCAGAGAAGGGGGAGGGCCTTAGCCTAATGACACCCATGTAAGGAGACTGTCATATAGGGATGCTTTCTAGAAACCTACATTCACAAAGTTAAGGGTCAGAGGCAGAAATGCTTAAGCAGAGTGCCTCCACTATCCCTGGCACAGCCTAGGCCAGCTACAGACAGTTCCTTATGAACCTGGGATCTACCACTTTACATGCCTAACAGAGGTGCTCTCACTAACCAAGCCGAGGCGGGCCATCAGAACATTGCTACCGACGCTGGGTGCGTTTGTTCTGGATAACTTCCCTTAAATCTCTCCTGTTGTGGGAGTCACGCCTCTTTTGCACGCTGCTCCTCTGGGTAGGGGGTGCACGAGAGGAGACGCTGGCTCACTGGCCCTTTTTTTAGTCCTCAGACCGTGAAGGGGCACTCTGGGCGTGGAGCTGGATCTCAGCAGTATACGAGTCTTAAATGCGGCTAAGCGCGTATTCGCCTCTCTGAACCTCCCCACCACCTCCCCTACAGAGGTGCCGAAGAGTTCAGAGGGCGAAACCGGCAAATCAAGGAGAAAGGACTTCTCTTTATCCCTGATGTCGGCCAGGTTTAGCCACACATGTCTCTCCGTGGCGGTGCTTTGCTTGGTAGCCTGGAGAGCAAGATCTGTGGTGCGGCACAGCTCAGCCACCGCCTCAGGGGACATTCCTGCCTCTTGGTCGAGATCCCCCAGCAGGTCAGCCTGGTATGTCTGCAGCACCGCCATGGTGTGCAGGGCAGCACTGGCCTGACCCGCTGCTGTGTATGCTTTGCCATTCAGACGCGCCGTTGTTTTCAGCGGTTTGGATGGTAGGGTTGGAGCTTTCAGTGTCGACGGCTGCCCAGACACGAGATAGTTTGCAAATGTCTCATCAATGGGCGGCATCGACACATACTCATGATCCTCGAACCCCTCAACATCAGCGAAACTATCCCGCAACATGACATCATGACTTTTGCGTAAACATATACGCCACTTTCGAGTCAGGTGGCGTGTTATCTCTACACATTTTGAGCTATCCACGTGTATCCGCCTGTATGCGTATATGTCTACGCCATTAACGTCCGCGTCATTCCGCGTGTCTGTACACGCAGTCAAATCTCCAGTCATACATGCCATAAACCCCAGTGACGGTTAAGTTTAGGGATGGGGTTGAGGTAAGTCATATCTTTTTTTTTTTTCCTAGGATGGTAAGGGAACAGTCATAAATGCCATTAACCCTAGTGACGGTTAGGTTTAGGGACGGGGTTGAGGTAAGTCATATATTTAAGTCAGCGGCGTTCATAAACACGCTGAAAGGCGATTATGCTTCTTGATGGCACACCAAAAATGGAAATACGAATTGGCGTGTCATACACACGCTACTTCATGAGATCAGTCTGCTAGCCCGAAGAATCTGCAGGAACAGTCTGCAAATAATTATCATCATCGACCTGCAAATCGCCCCTTGTCAGTCGCCTGATCATCCAGGGGGTTTACAGCCCTCTCGAGGTGATCGACGAACTCCATCTGGGAGCCCCATGATGCAAGTCACCGCTCTGCCTCGGCACGAGTGGGACCTGAACCACGGGGACCAGAAGCTTAGCCCTCTTCACTCCAGAAGAGGGCCAGACGTGGACGGAGCGTTTTCAAAGAAAAATGGTCACAGCTCGCACATCGGGCTCCCTCGAGAACCTCCTGTAAGTGCTCTTCACACAGACAAAATAAATAAATAAAAAATGCACAGCTTGTGTGTGTCACCCGGCATCAAGAACCCTTGGCAAGGGTCGGCACACTTCTGAAAGGACGGCCTTCAAACGCACGGCCTTTGAAACGGCCTTCACTGTACGTTTCATTTTAATTCCTTTTTCTTACCCTACCCTTGTAGCGTTAACAAACAGACAGTCCCGGAAGATAAAAAGGTTTGTTATAGACCATTTCACAAGATGTAAACAACACTGGTCCACAAGCACTTCCTGTTTCAGTTTTTTTTAACACTACATAAAAGCTGGGATTAAGTACAACCAACAGAACATATAAAACTGAATCAAAAAGTTAAACAAACATCTTTAAGATTTTTTCTTTACATGTGAAATAAAGAAAACAGCTACAAACTGAAACAGGAAGTGTTTCTGGACCAGTGTTGTTTACATCTTGCAAAATGGTCTGTATACTAACAGGTCGCACGTTAATCATTCACGTTGATGATTCACAGGCTGTCGCCGGTCAATGTGATAGCTGTGATTTGATAGTGATTTCAGACACCTGGCATGCCTGATGCGTTCCCCAAAGTATCATTCGACGCAGTGCGAGTTGCCTTTCGAAAGGGAATTACATTTATCCTACCACGCACCTCTAAAAGTTGTGGCAGCATGCGAGTTATACTTAACTGTAATAAAAGTGGAAATCGATTTCAGACGCATCCTGAGTGACACTGTCATTCATTTCTACTGGCCATAGCAAGTGTTATTAGCTTGTGGAAATAGAGTGTTATGCATTCTATTTGTATGCATATACAAACAACATATTTTCTTAGGATGCCAAGGAAAGAAAGAATAAAAACAACAACACCAAAAAAAATAAAAACTAAAAAAAAAGTTTAGTGCCGCCCCTGCCCCTGATGAGGTCTGGGCACGCCACTGCCCCACAGAGATAGAACAACTTGCACACACACACACACACACACACACACACACACACACACACACACACACACACACACACACACACACACACACTGATTAAACATTTCACTGAGCATATATTTGCAGGTTTTTCCATAGATTTTTGGAAGCATGGCAGAGACTATACAGAAGGGGATTGTGGGATTGGGAGATGATCTAAGTTGGATTAAAACTTGTTTCGCCTAAATGTGTGTCCAGGTCCCACACATTTCTGAATGTCTTTTATTGTAAAATTGTATTCATAAAGTATACTTAAAAAGGAACAGCAGACTTGCAGAATCCTGAGGTTCGGATCAACAATGTTAAAATTAATTCCAATTAGCAATTTGTACTGTTAACTTCCTTTTGAAGTGACTATTGTGCCACAGTTATGGAAAACGGCAAGAAAATCAATTTAAATGCAAATGCCAATGGAAATAATTGTAAAAACCTTACACAACTCACTTGCTGAGCACTGAACGCTGCTAATTGGTAATGCAAACTTTTCTTTTAATAACATATATTTATACTGACACATGACAAGTTACTATATGCATATCATGAGCTTCTCAGTGTTACATGCGTGTCATGTGTTTCCCCTGTTCTTTGTGTATTTGGTTCAGTCCTGTTGCCATTTTCCCGCTCCTCATTTCTATTTTGTTAATTCATCTGTTTACCTGTCATTATCAGTTCATTTGCCCCAGCTGTGCCTTATTTCCCCAATCTGTTATATGTGTATTTACTGTAAACCATTTGTTCTCCCTCACTCCTGGTCAGTTATCGTTTGTTTATGGTTATTGTCGAATGTTAAGAGTTTTGTCATTAAAAACCATTATATTCATCCTTTTTCATCTTCATGCTATTCCCACTACCACATTATGTAACACTCGGAGCCACAACCTCCTACTGCAGAGAAACTGAAATCCACACAAGAAAATATGGGTTCTGTTTCAAGACATATTGAGCTCACCAGTGATGGGGGCCATCACTTTAGCATCTACCGCAGCGTGCACACAGATGTGAGACATTGAAATTCAACCCCATCATCATGAGGCTTCA